GTGTGTGCGTGTGTGTGTGTGTGTGTGTGTGTGTGTGTCCGCGCTTGCGCGTGCGTGTGCGTGTGCGTGTGTGTGCGTGCGTGTGCGTGTGCGTGTGTGCGTGTGTGCGTGTGTGTGTGCGTGTGTGTGTGTGTGCGTGTGTGTGCGCGAGTATCTCATCGTTGAACTCTTCGGCGTCCGCACGTGTGTGCAGCCATGCGCTGTGCATCCAATGGCCTCCGGATGCTCGGCCTGTCGGGCCTCGGATCCTCCGAGGCCGCTCGAAACGGGGCCCCGGAGGCCTGCCCGCGAGGGCCCCCGACGCCCCGAGGGGGATCCCGAGAGGCCTCCGGCGAGGGGGGGGGGTGACTCGGAGGGGCCCCGGCAGGGCCCTCTGCCCCGAGAGCCGTCCAAGCCCCAGGGCCGCCAGGAGGCCCCCCCAAGCAGTTCCAATGCCCCCCCCCCCTGGGGTGCCCCAGCGCGCGGGTCCTCCTCCTCCTCCTCCTCCTCCTCCTCCTCCTCCTTCTCCTCTTCTTCCTCCTCCTCCTCCTCCTCCTCCCATCGTGCTCCTCCTGATGATCCTCCTTTCCATCCCCCCCTCATCACCGGGGGCCCAGTGTCAGACCCTATTCGGAGGGATGCCAGCCCATCCCCTGACAGTAGGCGTGACGCCACAAACCGGGGGACATTTCCGTTGCATCTCTGGTTGTGTAAATTTTGACGTGCCACTCCGCTTGCTAATCAGTGTGACTGGTGCACCGAGCCAATAATACTGACAAGTGGGCAGGAATTGTCTGCCCCCGTGCCGCCATACGCTTTGTCAACAACATTTCAAAATATCGGTCTGGACGGTCCGAACGTCTTCCTACCTCTCCAGGACGTTCTGGTGTGCGGTGCGGGAGGCATCGCATATCATGTCGTATCATATCATAACCTTGCTGAGGTTCTAAGCCACACTGCGTCGATCGAAAGAGACACGAATCGTCTCATCTTGGACGCTGTAGCTTGCACTGCGGTGCGCCTTTCAACTTCTCCAGGAGATCATCGTCCCCTCACCTCCCAAGAATGTGTTGCAGTGCAACTACGCGCCACTCTGGCTTGAGACACATCGGTCAAAGGAAGCACATCCTGTGCCCCTCCCGGTGAGGGAAACGGTCCAAGTCTCAGCGGCAACGCGAGCTTTTCCGCTCACTCGCCACCTCAACAGACACGCTCCTACTCGCCCTCCTCCCCCTCCCCCTCCCCCTCCCCCTCCCCCTCCTCCTCCTCCTCCTCCTCCTCCTCCTCCTCCTCCTCCTCCTCCTCCTCCTCCTCCTCCGCCTGAAGCTCCGTCTCCATCCACCACAACGCAACTGTTCCCCGCTGCGCTTGGCCCGCCCGCTGCGCTGATGCGCGCGAGGTGCCGAGCGTGCGGTGATCACCTGATCGGCCCCTCGGTCATGCGCACGACCTGCGGAACGGGGGTGGGCGCGCACTGCACGGCCCCCTGGCAAGACCATGCGGTGTGCCACGCCTGCTGCGCCGACTGAGACCTCGTCTTCGCGCAACGGTAGGCGGTGTGGGGCGGACATCTGGCCGCGACCGTGAGGACCGCAGCGACCTCTGACCAACTGGTCGGCCACGCCCTCGGCGCCACCACCTTGACGGCAGCTGCAGGAGTGCGGTGGCTTGCCCTAGGCGCGGCCGCAAGCGTGAGGCAGACTTGCAGTGCAACCGCGATGATGCACCGGGCCCAGCATCCAAGGCGCTGGAGCCGGGCCGGCCCCGACAGGCCAGGCTGAGCAGCGCGAGGGCATGACGGGCTCGATCTTGGTGGAGCTTCGCGACCTCCGCCTCCAGGTCGACAGCCTCGGTCGGCGGAACGCCGAGCTCGAGGCGGAGCGGGCCGCCGAACGCGCCACGGCAACTTCTCCATCCGCGGGGTGCCTCACCCCGAGCGCCGGTGACCCCTTTGAGGTGTCGGCGCCTGAGTCTCCTGGCTCAGAGGAGCCGCCGACGGCCACGGCAAGAGGAGATCGAAGTGCACAAGATGATTGTGCACATGTTGATGAGGATGCTCCTCGCTGGCGATGGACTGATCACCCAGGTGTCGCCGACCGTTGAGCCCCTCAGTGGCGGGAATCAGCAGGTGGATATCTTGGCGGAATTCTTCGGCGTGCAGGCGATGGCCTGCAGCGACTGCGCGACTTCGGCTACGACCCCGCCCCCGGCGATTTCGGCGCCTGCGGCTGCGACCTCGGCGTCGAACGCTCCACAGCAGCAGCCGCCTGTTGGTTCTCCCGATGGTGTTGGGGCCGCTGCGCAGCCACCTGCCTCTGAGGTGCTGGCGGTCGAGGGCCCGCAGGCGTGGGCCGCCGTCTCGGCGGCAGGACCCTCAAGCACGCAGCTGCTGCCGCAACTGCTTATGCCAATCTGGCGGGGAACCGCTTCCTGGAGCAGGAGGTAAAGGATTTCGTGAAGCTGGGGGCGGCGGAGGAGGATTTCCCGAAGCTGGAGGCGGCGGGAGTGGAGGCTTCTCGAGTGGAAGCGGCAGAGGTCCAAGGTGATCAAGGAGGCGCAAGAAGATGACAAGTGTAGTGTGTGGAAAGCGTCAGCTAAAAACCCTCGGATGAGCAGGTCCTCGCGCAGAGCGTGGAGATGTAATCTGTGCATGTGGCGCTGGCGATTGCAGTGGAATGCCGATGACAGCTCTTGGCATTGGACGCCAACACGGCGTTTTTCAACGCCCCGCCGCCGAAAGAGAGCGGCCGCGTGGTGGTGCGGCCACCCGCCCTCATGGTCCACCACGGGCTGGTGCTGGCGGACGAGCTGTGAATAGCCAACAAGGGCATCTACGGCCTCAGGGTGGCGCCGCGGAGCCGGGGCCTGCAGCGGACTCCGACCTGCGCGGCATGTGCGTGCAGTTCGGAGGCCGTCAGTGCAAGCTGGTCCAGAGCCACTGCGACGCTTCGGCATGGATGGTCACGCACAGGGTGAAGCCCAAGCTCGAGGCGGACAGGGAGCTGCTCGGCCTGGCGGTGGCGTCTGGTGATAGTCCGTCGGCGTCATCGACGTCGTGGAGGCAACACGGCATACGTTTTGGGCGTGCAGCTCGCAAGTGCGCATCGGCTTCGACGCGCTCGGAAAGCTCATTTGCTTGAGCTCGGAGGTAAAGGCGCATCGGGATCATTTCGCGGTGCACAAGGGCTAGTACGTCGACGACATGCTGGCCAAGTGGGGTCTTCAGGGCGGCAACGCTTGCAGCACCATCGCCATCGAGCCAGTGCCTGATCGCAGCGATCACGATGGCGAGCCTGACCTGGCGGAGGTCAAGATGGCCCCCAAACATGGGCGATGGATTGCTGTGGGTGTCGACCCGCAGCCGACACGACGTCGCTTTTGCAGTGTCGCGTCTCAGTTCGCACGCCTGCAGTGCTCCCACCTGGGCAAGCGCATTCTGCGCTACGTGCTTCGGACGCGGCTCTTCAGCCTGATTTTGCGTCCATCTTCTGGCAGTCTGGCGCAGAACGTGCCGGCAGGCCGTTTGAGCTGAAGCTGCTAGGCCACTTGAGCAGCTTATGCAGACGCCAGTTTCGAGGCGGACACTTCGCAATCTGGAGGGGCGGATTGGCGCAGCCAGTAGCTGTTGGAGATGCTGTCGGGGATGCTGTCGGGGATGCTGTTGGAGAGGCTGTTGGAGATGCTGTCGGGGATGCCGTTGGAGATGCTGTTGGGAATGCCGTTGGGGATGCCGTTGGGGATGCTGTTGGAGAGGCTGTTGGAGATGCCGTTGGGGATGCCGTTGGAGAGGCTGTTGGAGATGCTGTTGGGAACGATGTTGGAGATGCTGTTGGAGATGCTGTTGGGGATGCCATTGGGGATGCTGTTGGAGAGGCTGTTGGAGATGCCGTTGGGGATGCTGTTGGAGAGGCTGTTGGAGATGCTGTTGGGAATGATGTTGGAGATTCTGTTGGAGATGCTGTTGGAGGTGTCGGAGGTGCTGTCGGGGATCCTGTCGGAGATGCTGTTGGAGATGCTGTTGGGGATGCTGTCGGGACTGGTGGAGTTGTTGGAGATGGCGTTGGCGTGGGCGTCGGTGCGGGTGTGACTGGGGTGAAACCGGTGAAGAGGGAGTCTGCAGCTATGATGTGCTCGGACATATTGAAATTGACCAGGTTCGGGAAGACAGAGCTCAACCGACCAACGCTGCCCCGCGACGACGGCTGTGCGCTCAACCACTGCGCGATCGGGACCATGACACTCTCCCATGGGTACTGTGGGATCATTCTCCCTCGTCCCAAATCCTGGGCATTGTCCTCCAACAGAGACTCGGGGTACCGGTTGAAAATGCGTCCGCCGTTGATGCCACCGCCCATCACGAAATGGTTTCCCGCCCAACCGTGGTCGGTGCCCATGCCGTTCGTGGTTAGCGTGCGCCCGAAGTCGGAGGCGGTCACCAGCACTACGGAATCAAAGATGTTCTGTCCCCGCATTTCGTTCACAAAATCCTCCAGGGCAGAGTTGAGATAAGCAAACTTATCCTCGAGCGTCATGTCCAAGTCTGTGTGCGTGTCGAAGCCGTACATTTCGACAAAGAACAGGTCCCGCTCTGCCTGTCGAGCTGTCCTCGTCGCAATGAGCCGGGCGACTTGGCGCAGCGACCTGCCTATATCCGTGGCGGTGCTGAACGCGTACCCAGTCGCGAGCTCCGTCGCCTCGAGAAAGGTCCCAATGTTCTCGCTGGACTGTACGTGTCTGCCGAACTGGCGCGCGTACTCCTCGCAGTATGCATTGCCGTACTGGAGGTTGGTGATGTTCTCTATGAGCGCCTGCAGCCCCTGGTTGTACTGGTAACCGAGCAAGCGCACGGCGCCGTTCCTTCTGGGGGTCCCACAACAATGCGCCCCACCGGTGCAGTGGCCAGACTGTCTGGTGAGTCAGCGGGGATTCGGAGTGAGCGGGCCGTCTGGGGACTTGCGCCCTTCTCTGAGGATGTCTCGAGCGCATGAGGCCCTCAACATTCTCCCAAAGCCGTCCGGTGCCACGTCGGCCTCTGGAGCAGGTGCGGGGCGCGCCCCCAGGCCGCAGACGCTCGGGGCCGTGTGGCGGAGTCGGCAAATGAACCCTGGAATCTTCCAAGGCGAAGCCAGGACTTCAGGAAGAGGCCCCCCCCCCCCTCTCCTCCTCCTCCTCCTCCTCCTCCTCCTCCTCCTCCTCCTCCTCTTCCTCCTCTTCCTCCTCCTCCTCCTTGTCCTCCGCCACCACGAACCCCCCCGAACCCCAACGAGTCCAATAGGCCTTCAAGCAAGCTCCAAGGGCGCCCCCACAACGGCCCCAGAATACCCAGACGTTGATGTATCAAACCGCCGGTTGGTATAGCACCTCCCGGGCCTTCTCAGGGCCCTCGGGAAAGAACCAATAAGGCCCAAGAGGGCCCAAATAGGGCCTGCCGTGAGCCTCACGACGAGCCGAAGAGGAGCCATAAGGTACTATATCTCTTGGTCATCAGCAGTTGGTTCAGGGCCTCCTGGGCCCTCCTAAGGCTCTCGGAACGGAGCCAGAAGAGCCCCACAATAACTCCAGGATGGCCCCGGGAGGGTCTCCAGAGAGCCTCCAGAGAACCCAAGAGGGGCTAGGAGGTGCTGTACTTAGTTCGCGGCTCGATATAGGGCTTCCTCCGTCGAAGCCCAGTCCATAGCGACAGCTTTGAAACCAGAACTCGTGACTCAAGGACAGTCGGATAGATTCTGGCTGCCCTGCAACGCTATGTGTCGGCGAGGCGCAGCTGCTGGGGAGGCCCTGGTGCGAGAAAGACCTCGACAAACCAGCGAGGGCATCGGAACTGCGCCTAGGGCGACGACGACGAGAATTGGCCGAGGCTACAAGACATTTCTGCTGGCGTCCCCTTGCCCCGTCCAGGGCCCCCGCACTAATCGTCGTCGTCCTCCTCTCACGAAAACGCCGAAAGTGGTCGCCAACGCGGAAACCAGACAAGCTCGGGTACTGGGGACCGAGTGAGCAAAGCACAAGGGGAGCTTCAGGTGAGCGGAACGGCTCCTCAAACATGCCCCCTGGAGACAATGAGGAATCTAAAAAGAGTCTGACGCCACGGTTGTATTAAACAGTCTTGTTTGGATCCCGCCCAGAACACAGCACTGGAGCCCGCCTGGACCCCGCCAGAATGTACCCCGTAGATCCAAGCAAGTCCCAATAGAACCCGAAGAGCACCGCTGAGAGGCCTCAAAGAGACTGTCCACTGTGCCCGCAGAAAGAAACCCGTCAGAAACCCGAAGATATCACCCACGCCCATGAAATTCCAAATTAAAACCCCAGAATGCACCCACCCCCAGAGTCCATTCCTGGTTTGACAACCATTTCTGGTTTGCCCCTGGATTTCCGGTTGGGCTTGAATTCACGCCTTAAATGAAGACTTCCCGGCTCTGCGTCTGAGAGAGTCCAAATTTGGGCCCGTCCGATTCCCGGTTTGGGGGCGCTTCCACGGTTGAATTCTCCACCGTGCGGCAAGGCCACAGGACGCCCAATACACTGCCACCCTGGCCAGAAACTGGCCGTCTGGTGAGGGCCCCCAGGCTTTCGAGGTCATCAGGCGGCCCGTGAACAGACGGTCTTGCATTTGACCCCTGCGTGCCTGGCGTCGATGACCTCCACGCCAGTGCTCTGCCCCACCGACCACGTGGACGAGCCCGCCAGCGAGAACGAGGTCGTGACGAAATTGTCGGCGGCCAGGGCGTCGGCCAGGCGCCCGCCGAAGCCCTTCGGGGACGTGCCCTGCACCTGGCACTTCAGCGTCTTCCCGCCGTTCTGCTGGTCGATGTGCGAGAACAGCCCCGCGCACTTGGGCGCGGTGTTGTACTCCGCCTTGTCGGGTGCCCGCAGGAGTGCCCGTGGACCGAGGTGCCCCAAGCTTGTCCCGCCCGCCTTCGGGGGCTCCGGAGGAGGAGGGGGAGCGGGAGGAGGAGGAGGAGGAGGAGGAGGAGGAGGAGGAGGAGGAGGAGGAGGAGGAGGAGGAGGAGGAGGAGGAGGAGGAAAAGGAGGAGGAGGAGGAAAAGGAGGAGCAGAAGGAGAAGGAGGAGGAGGAGGAGGAGGCGGAGCTTGAGGAGGAGGAGGAGGAGGAGGAGGAGGAGGAGGAGGAGGAGGAGGAGGAGGAGGAGGGAGGGAAGAGGGAGGAGGGAGGAGGAGGAGTGGCCCCTCGGGGCCTCGTGGGGGGTGGCGGTGGGGGGCCGACCGGGGCCTTCCTGGACAAACGCCCGGGGGGTCGCCTCTAGCCAAAAGCGCCCTCTGCTGACGCCGGGCCTTCGTGATGGGCTGCACCAGGCCGCCGATGTTGCTCACGAAGGCCAGGTCCCCCTGCGCGTACAGGTCGCGGACGAAGGGGAGGGAGTGGTGGACGCCGAATGTGCTGCAATTCTGGTTGTCCACCGAGATCTCGTGCAGCTTGCTCAGGGGCAGCGCGACATTCCCACGGATGGTGACGTACTCCTGGTACAGGCCAGTGCAGGTGGGCACCATCAGGTTGAAGGAGTCCAGGCCCCCGTTGAAGAAGAGGAAGACCATGGCCTTGTAGGAGCTCTGCTCGTGGGGCGTCACCTCCGTCACCGTTGGTCGCGCGCCGATCACCTGCGGGTCGCCCTGGGTGTGGAACTCTGGCGACATGATCACGGCCTTCATGGCCGCCTTCAGCTGGTCTCTGTCCCAACGGGCGTTGAGTGCTATGTCGAAGGCGCTCGGATCGCTGATGCGCCCGCCGGTCAGCAGCAAGGAGACCTCGCTGAAAGACTGATGTGGATCGCTGCCGTCGCTGGACAAGGTGAAGTTGAACATGCCAAAGTAGCGGTTGCAAGTGGGCTCGCCCCCACCGATGCCAGCCGAACAATGGTTGACTGCGCCGGTGTCGACCATCGATATCATGCCGTTGAGCCAGCTGAGCGCGTACGGAGGCGTGAAAATCTCGAACTCGGGCGCGACCAGGCCTTCTGAGAGGCCTGCTGGCGTATACTCCACGCCGTAAAAGTTAAAGACGGAGGGCGCATGGTAGGGCCACTGCCCAATCAACTCTTGCAGGTCCTTGAGCAAGATCTGGCGCCCTTGGGAATCCACGTACTCCATGGCTCGCAGGAAGTGCACAATCTTGATCACGGGCTCGCGCAGCTTGCCCAGAGAGCTGCTCGACAGACCCCCTCTAGCCTCAGGGTGCAGCAAGATGGCCGCGAAGGTCGCCCCGAGGTCCCCGTACAAACCAGAGTATGTGACACCGTTGAACTCCCCAGTGCTGAAGGCCTGAGCGACGGCCAACACGTAGGCAGGCGTCGGATTGGACGTGACCATGCGCTGGATCAGCCGGTAGGACAGGAAGGGTGGCACGTTGGGGTGGCGGAAGAGGTGGTCCAGAAGGGCCTCCACCTCGGCCGAGGCCTCCTCTGCTTGCACCAGCTGGCCGGTGATCTCCTTGGCGAGCATGAACACGAGGGGGTTGCGGAAGCTGTACCCCGCCACCTCCACGATACTCTCCATGTTCTTGTAGAATGCCCCGTCGCACTCGAACAGCGTGCTCTCGTCCACGCTCCCACTTCCGCCAGCTGCGTACGCCTTCACCTCTCCGTCGCAGGGCGCCAGGCAGGTAGCGGAGGCCGCGGCCCACGCTCCGAAGGCGCCGATGCGCAGGCGGGCGGCCTCCCCCAGGAGCTCCGACCTGCTCGGGACTGCAGCGAAGATGGGCCGCGACTGCACGCTGATGGGGCAGATGCACCCGGAGGTGCTGTTGGTGCACTGGCTGGGGCAATTGCCCAGGGTGGGGAACCCGTCGGCCCAGTCCACGAGGATCCAATTCTGCTTCGTTTTGCTGTCGTACTGGGAGGCGACCCTCCCATCTTCCCGGACCTCCACATCGACAGTGCAGGTATTCGGGGTCCACACGTCAATGCTGTCCTGGCCGCAATCGCTGCCATTCGTGATCTGCTCGCAGACGTGCATGCCCAAGCTCTCGCACGCCGCGCTGGCAGTCTCGAACCGGACCTTCTCCTGGTTGTACCCGCACACATTCTCCGTCTGAATGAACCCGTCCGAGCAGTTGTCCCCAGAGTATCCGACGCCGTGCTCCCAGCAGCCCAGCTGGCAGAACTTGTTCTGCCGCCACCAGTCACCCTGGTTTGGACAACCCAAGCTAACTACCCACGACATCGTCCCCTGCAGATCCTCGCAGGAGTACCCTGCATCAATCGTATCCTGATGTAGGAAGTTGCTGCAGCCCCTGCAGCAGGTCGTCCCGGCGACCGCGGCGTTTGGGTTCGTGCACGTCTGCCTGAATGCTTGGTAGATGCTGCTGTGCTGGGAATAGCCGGGCCTGGTATCCATGCCAGGAGCAATGACCTGGCCATTGAAGAAGTAGAGGTGCACGCAGGTCGGCCGGACGAACTCGTAGTAGCCCCCTGGGACCTGGAATATGCGAGGGCTATTGACCTCGCACTCCTCGGCGTAGCAATCGATGGTGCTGTTCAGTACCACGTTGAGCTGGATTTCCGCCAGCGCCGCGTACAATGCAGAATTGGAGTTCAGTGCTAGCACTTCCGCTCCGACGTAGCTATACCCCACGAACCGATACCTCGCCCCCTGAAATAAGAAGGCTCGTGACGGGATGTCCGAGCACAGCGGGTAGCCATCGCCCAAGTAGCCGCCACTCAGGTCCGGCTTTGGATATACGTCGTGCCAATCCCCCATCATCTGCATCGGGTCCAGATAGTTCTGTGAGCTCAGGTAATGCTCAATGTTGGGGCGCAAGGCCTGCTGTGCGAAGCCTGTAAACACGCGTGCGAAACTCATGATGTTCTCGTTGCTGTACGTGGGTACGTCGCTCCCGTTCGCGTCGGTCTTTCTGGTGCCGTCCGGGTTGAGCTCCCACAAGCCAATCGTGAACAACTGCATGATCTCCCGGGCGTAGTTCTCGTCGGGATATGTTCCGTCGGAATCCAGGGACCTGCTGTTCGTGAAGGTCAGGAACTCGCCCATGATCGGGCTGTAGGTGACCTCTCTGAGGATGTCGCGGTAGTTGCCGAATGCGTTCCGCACGAAGATGTCGTAGTACGTCAACCAGGGCTCCGTCAGCTGCCAGAGGTCAAAGCTCTCCGTCACGCTGGTCACCACGACCTGCGAGAGCGCCCAGGCCGCCCGCTGACGCAGCTGGTCGTCCGCCTCCAGCGCGACGTTGGTCCACACCGCGGTCTTTGACTGTCCCTCTTGAAACGAAGAGTAGGGCATCTCGAAATCCAAGTCGGCGGTACGCGGAATCGTCTGGAAGTTGGTGATGAAGCCGAAGCGGTGCCCCAAGCTCGGATCGTTTGCCACCTCGCCGGGCGACCCGCACGACTCGTACCCCACAGCCCAGGAGGCCTGAAGCTTCAGGGGCAGGGCCTCGAAGCCGACGGTGTCACCCAGCCTCCCGAGGTATTCCAAGTACTGCTGCGCGTGCTGCCATCGGCCCATCGGGTGCCAGGACGGGAACTCGAGCTGGAAGCTGCCCGTGGCCCACCGCTGAATGGGCTCCGTGCCGCCCGGGTGCGCGTCGACCCACGTGGAGAAGTCGTAGACGTTGAGATGGTTCGAGTGTACGTGCGCAAAGTAGTCAGCGCCGCTGGCGACAACCGCACCCGCCGCCACGCCCTCACAGCTCACGTATACGTCGCGGAGAGAGCCCTCTTCCAGCGCGAGGGCCGAGGCCACAGCGGCGGCCTCGGTGGCGCCGATGGCCGTCAGGCTGCAGTCCTCCGAGCTGCAGTCGAGCAACCTCCACCGCGACTGCCTCCCGCAGGGCGACTCGGTGTCGATCAGGCCCGTGACCGCGTACACGTACCTCTCGGACCTGTTCAGGAAGACCTCGAAGGTCGCGGCCTCCAGGACGAAAGTCTCCGGGGGCTGGTCCCCCCCCTCCGCAGCGCCGCACGCCGTGCGCAGCTGGCAGCTGTCCTCGTTGAGGAAGGTCCTGGGCACGGGGCGGCAGGTGTTGAGCTCGCCGCCCGAGGGAGAGGCCAGGTCGTTCTGGAGCAGCTCCAGCCTGGGGTCAGAGAGGTAGTGCTGGCCGCTGTGGTACACGAACTCTCCCAGATCGCAGGGCTCCGCGCCGTGACTCTGCGCGAGCGTGATGACGCCGAGCCTCACCTCCTCGAAGGTCAGGTTCGCGTCCTGGTCGCTTGGGGAGCTGGAGAACCAGATCAGGGGATTGAGGAAAACGTGATCGGGTGCAGAAAAAGTGGGGCAAGAATTCGTGAGTCCAATCTTCACGGGCCCGCCCTGCTCCTCGTCGACGCTGCAGATGTAACCAGACAGCTCCAGACCAGGAAACCCTGGGGAGCAATCGTCTCCTGAGTAAGGGAGACCTGTATCAAAGCAAGTCTGCGCGCAAAGCCTGTTGGTGACGTAACTCGAAGTATCGCTACTCATGTCGCCGCACACATACCTGGCGTATGACAGTTGGCTGCAACTTGTCATCCCGTTGGGTGGGTCGTCCGTGCAATTGTCAGGGGCGGAAAGGCCGTTTCCAGAGTACGCTGGGTCGATGTCGCTCCGGTGCTCGTCGTCGACGTAGATCTTGTTGCCTGTGATGTGGATCCGCTTCCCCTGGTCCGCGACACTGAACGCGAAGGAATGCCAGCGTGAGCCCACCGCGCAACGCGAGCGTGGCGAGCCCATCGCGGAACCGTCCAGTATCCGACTGTTGACCCGCTTGCGGTAGTACTCGCGGTGGGACGTGGCAGGGGCCTGCAGCTGCGAGCTGATCCAAGACTCCAGCGTCGTCTGGCTCAGCTCCTCCAGGCTGCTGCGAGTGGGGCCGAAGGTGGCCTGGATGAGGAACTGTGCGTCGCTCTCGGAGCTGCGATTACTGTCGAAGCCAGTGGCCATTAATCCGCCACCGCTCCATGGGCACGGCGTGGAGTGCTCGCACGCCCCTTGGAGCCCCCAGCGTTGAGACTGGCACGTCCCAGCTTCCACAATGCCCCCCAAGATGGTCTCGTGGAGCGGTCTCGGAACCGTGTTTTGGGAGCGTGGGGGACGTCGTGCAAGCTCCCTGGGCCGACCCAAGATGTCGAACTTTTTGCCGCGCCGTGTGTGTGTACATACATATATATATATACACACGTGTATTATGTTTTAGTGTATTCTTATAAGTATGTATAACCTATTATATACACGTGTACATGTACCCTCGCACCGCCTTGATAGCGGTGCGATAGCGGTAAACAGGTGGGACGATGACGTGACGGTGATGCCCGGATGGGCCCTGTGCGCAAGGTGCCTGCCAGTCCCAGGAGCTTCATGCTCTAGGATGGCTGTGGGTGGGTTGTCCTGAAACGGCCGAGCGCCTGAACCCAAATGGCCACAGACGTCGGGCAAACAATAAGATACTACACTTTCGTGTTGGCACACGGGGGCGCATCCTCGCAGAACCCTTACAGCGGGGCGATTGCGGTCAAAAAAGGCGGGGGGGGAATGAGGCGACGGCGACGCCCCGTTACGGGTGGCGGTGCCGGGGTCCCTGTGCGAGGGTACCCGTCGATGGAACGGGGGGGGGGCATACAGGAGACCTTGAGGTGAGAGGGGGATGCCAGGTCCCCCCCCAGACGCACGACACCGTCACCACTTCTCGCCGCTCGCACGCGCGCTCAGCTGCCGCGAGGCGCGGCCTCGAAGCCCCAACTTGTCCTCCACAGTGGGGCCCTCTCCGCGGTGGAGGCCCCCGCCCCCGCCCGCGGCGAGAGGGCGGGGGCTCGAAAGTAATCATCCCGCAGGCGCGCTCCCTGCACGGGGGCCGCCGCCGAGCCCCGCCCGGGACGCGACCCAGGGCGAACGGTCGACGGCCCCGGAGCGGGGGGTGCGCTCCGAGCGGCCATGCGCTGCAGCTGCGGCCCGCGGTGCCGCGGCAGGCGCGGCCTCGTGGGCCGCCCGCCCGCGGGCTGCCGCCTCCTCGCCAGTGCCCCCTTCTGGATGATGGTCCCGTGGAGCACCTGGTGGGCCTTCGCCGCGTCGTCCACCCCGTGCCGCCTCGGCACTCCCAGTGCTGCGCAGGTCCCCCAAGGGCTCCGTCATGTCCTGCACCGTCGTGTCGCGGGGCGCGTCCGCATCCCGAGGCGCATCCACAGGTCCTTCCCGCCGTAGGACCGCGTGGCGGTCAACTCTCCGAATCGCGCGGGCGTGGCCCCGCCACGAAGGGCCGTGTGGAGCCACGCCGCTGCCTATCTCCAGTGCGCGGGTGCATTCGTGCGAAACTGCCCCGCGTCCTAGCCGTCGAACTTGATGGGCGTCGCGAGCTTCTGTCCTCTGCCCAGACTTCTGCCGATCTCCCCGCCCTAGCCTGACCTCCCACGCCAGGGGGTCCTTTTCCCGCTGGGCCTGCGGCGCTGGAAGGTCAAGCGCCTGCGGGTCCCAGGGGCGGTCTTTCCAGCGGGGCCGTCGCCGCCGCGCCTGGGCGCCCCCGTCTGGTCGCCACCTCGTTCGCGTGGGCGGCGCCGCGTCGCCCTGCGCCCCGGGCGCGAGCTGGACGCCGAGCTGTCTCGCCTCCGCGCGGCAACTGGCGTGGGTGATGCCATCGCAGCTGGGGCCGATGCCGCACGACTCAAGGCCGCCACGCGTCTTGGTCCTCCGTGCTGGGGAGCTGGAGCTGTCAGCAAGGATGCCTCCGATGATGGTTGTGAGCCTCTTGTGTCGCTCCGAACCGATCACCTCTGGGCTGTCTGTGTTTACGAGCTGCCCCGCGGGCCGCGCGCCGCTCGCTGGTTGAGACTTGTTCTTAGCGGGGTGCCGATCCGCGATGCCTGCGGCTCCAAGGCGTTGAGGATACTGCGATGCCGACGGAGTTGCCGTGTGTCCCATCCCGGATTTCGCCAGCTAGTCTGACCCGCTCCTACCCGCGGGCCTCGATGAGCCCCGGCGTAACTCAGGCGTCGGTGCTGTTCGAATATCGCCTGGTGCTCCTGAACCGCTCTTCAACCAGGTCCTCGAAGTCCTGATCATCTGCAGCTCGCGCGCCTGGATCCGTCGCGCGTCCTCTATTTAATCCCAGCCTGGCGTGACTGGCGCCCGCCTGCGGATGTCCCATGTCGCGCGGCACCAGCGCGTCCTCTTCGCGGGTAGGAGCACCTGCCAACACTGTCCGCATCGCCACGGCTGCTGATCCTCTGACGGCGGTGCCGTCGGTGGCCCAATGCAGAGGGGCGCCGCAACCTCTGGCGGCGGCGGGCTGGGCGATTGCTCTGGGGAGTGAAGCGTTGGCGTGGACGACGACGCCGTCTCCATCCGTGAGGCCCAAATGTCGTCCCCGTCCGCCTCCTCGTCCGGTGTCCCTCGCCCGCCGCTGGCCCCCCTCCTGGGCCTGCCTTCTCCTGGTTCCGTTCCCTGGGTGGGTTCGGCTGCGCCTCCTTCCACATCGCCGCTGGGTTAAAGGGTCGTCGTGCTGTCGCCCTCCATCGTCCGCGTCTCTTCGTTTCAGGGTGCCGCCGACGCCCCTCTTGGCCTTGGGCCGACGTGCCCTGGTCGGAGGAGGGTGCGAGTGAGGTGGCGGCCACTTGGGCGGGATGCTCCCAGGGCTGCGCGGCGGCCCGCCCTCGCTCGCGCGCCGGCGGGGCCCCCGTCCCGGAGGGTCGCGTGCAGCCCCGTCGCCGCCGGCGGCCGCCATCGCCTTGCCGCCGTTGCAGGACCTTGTCACCTTCGGCTGGGACAGCTGATGTGCTTGTTCTTCCAGGACCGGAGACGTCTGATTTTTGGCTGCGTAGCACCGAAGTAGCGCCCCTCAGCCACCTGGCCTCCCTCGGGCTTCCCTCTCGTCTTCGGAGAGGCTGGCCTCGTCGTCTGGTGGATGGTGGTGCCTGCCCGCCCGACCCCGCGCGGCTCCCGCATGCGTCGCCTCCCTCTGTCTGCGCTGAACCTGTCCAGCATGCGCGCCAGGGACGGGCCTGGCCTTTTCCTTTTCGGGCCTGCTTGCCTCTGTCCTTGCTCTCTCTCTCTCTCTCTCTCGCTCTCTCTCTCTCTCTCTCTCTCCCTCTCCCGTGGTGGCCCAGTGCATCCCTGCGCTTGCGTTTGAAGGTCAGCCAGAAGGCCTTCCTCATGCCCGTCGCCCACCTGTCCGAGCTGTCTGTGATCGGCTCGAAGCCGAGTGTCTCCTTGGCGTCCGCCTGCCGCCGATCCTCTAGCAACCTGGGCGCGCCCGTCCTCGCGTCTCTCGCGGGGTCCGCGGCGGCGTGCTGGCGAGCCGTCCCGCGCTCGCGGGCGCGCGGGAATCGCCGAGCACGAATTCCCGTAAGGCCTGCCGCGAGGCCTGCGTGTCTCGAGATTGGGGCGGCCTGCAAGGCGCATCCAGATGGACCGCGCCAGAGGCCAACGAGGCCTCGGCCCCCGAGCAGCAAGCGGCTGCGGATCGTGCGACGACCCCGCTGTCCCGACCGTGCGACGATCGGGCAGATGGAGGCATGCGCGGCCCCGAAGCCCTGCCCGCTTCCCATGGGGCCCATCCCCTCCGCGAGGGCACGCATCCCGCCGAGGGCCCCCTTCCGGGAGCCCCTTCCGCCCATGACGGAGCGGGGGGCGCGCGAGCGGGTCGGTGCCTTCGCGTTGGAAGGGTGTCCGCCGGTCGACAGGGTTTCGGGACTACCGCGTAGGCGCGCTGACAGGTTCGGGTGGAGGCCCCTTGCCGGGCTTGGGCGACGACCCTGCAGGCTCGACGATCGAACAAACGAAAGACGCGCATTGCGCGGTCCCGAAGCCCTGCCCGCCTCCACCAGGACCCATTCCTGCTGCGAGGGCGCGCCCCCCGTCAAGGGCCTTCCCCTCGCCGGCGGCGGAAGGGCAGGGCGTGCGAACGGGCGGGCGCCTTCGCGGTGGGAGGGTGTTCACAAATCGACCGGGGTTCGGAACTGCCCTGAAAGGGCCCTCCGGTCTCCCGCATGGCCAAATGACGAGGCGCGAGGGGCTTTTCAGCCGTGCGCGGCCCGCCTGCCCTAAGCCCAGCGTGGCGCGCGGCAATCGCAGCTCCCCACTTGCCCCAGGCCGCGCGGCGGCCGTCTCGCGCGCTCCCCCGCCGGCGAGGTCCCCGCCCTGGAGGGTCGCGTTGGGCCCCGCGTCGCGGATGCAAGCGCTTGCCTTTGCGCCGCCCGCGCCTCGAGGTCAGCTGGGGGCGCGGCGCGCCATTGCGTCGCGGTCGTCTGTTGCCCCGGGCGGCGCGCCGGCCATTCTCTCCGCGCGACGGCGGCGATCCCGGCCCGAAGGGTTGCGCGAAGCGCAGCCGCTGCCGGTGCCCGAGCGCCTCGTCGAGCCCGCCGAACCATCTCGATCAGAGCTTGCTGTGGCGCTCGATCGGGTTTTCCCTGGGCAGCCGCTGGCGCTCGAGCGCGCGCTCCTACGACCTCGCAGGCTGTCCCTTCTTCTTGCCCGTCGTTGCCTTCGGGCTGCCCGTGGAATTCGAGATGTCGAAGAACGTGGGCAGGCCGACGGGTGCCTCATCGCGGTCCGCCGAGTCCGGGATGGGACAGCTCGCGGGCGGGCTGAAGGCGCGGTATGTGCCCGTGAACTCGTCCTGGGAGCGGCGCGAGCCCCCGCAGTAACCGCGGGCGCTCAGCCCCCCCAGCTTGTCCGCGGTGATCCTCTCCTCGAGAACGTGGGCACGTGCTTGATGAGCTGCTTGTGGGCCCCCCTCGTTGTTGGCGTCGATGGCGTCCATGGCCGCGCCGAGCACTTCCTGCAACAGTCCGCCCAGGGAAATCTTGCCTCCCTGCATGGTGCAAATGGTGGGCGCCAGCTTGGCCGTCCTCAGCGCTGTCAGGGTGCCCTCCTGCTCTGGGTAGTCGTGGCCGAGATGGACCATCTCCGCCTGGTCGTCTGGACAGTGCTCCTGGGACTGCTCGATGCGCTCGACCCCCCGTCGCT